AATACCTTTACTTCTACTCCTAAAATTAGGACCAACACTGCATCAGTCTGAGATTTTTTGCCAGATAGGAGTGATTGCCTACTCTGAGAGGCTTGATCTGAAACTTAATAGCTCAGTATGTGACTCTAAAGTGTATCCTTAGCTACACTCTACATACTACCATTGTACTAAACAAAATGTGTCTCTTCAATATATAATTACCTGTTGCATTGGCTTTAACTTCACATGTAGTGTGTAAATTAATTAGAAATTAATTAAGTTTTACACATTTTATGTTGGCAGCAGCACACTCAAATGTTGTAAATTGTAGCTGTGCTCATTTAAAGTACCTAGACACTGCTAGTAAATGCAATGCTTAATTTAAAATCTGCAGCAGTGCAGAAGGTCTTAATGGCGCGCAATGAATTGCCTCGTGTTTGTGTCCAACATACAGTACATGCAATTACACATGGAAAATGTTTAGTGTTGTAAGATACAGTGAATGGAACAGTAGGTAACAGCAGTGCCACATTTTTAAATGGTATTGATCTCATTTTGGACTCAATTCCACCAACACTGGTTCATGCCAAGCCTTTTTTTGTGTGATGAAATGTAAGCTTGCCTGTTAGAAAATCCCTTCAGCTGTTTTGGGGTTTCTAAGCAATTAAACACTGCCAATATTCTTTCAGGACCTTGTCATAAATTATTCCATGATACAATGAAACAGAAATTCTACTTATACTTTATGAGGACCAAAAAAATGAAAAACCTACATCAGATCTTATAAGTGAAAAGTTTTTTGAAACAACCAGAAGTTACTTTGGCTGCAACATTTAGAATCCAAAGGTTCAGTGAAATTCTTTCACTCTTTACAGGACTTAAGTTGCATAGCCTCATATGCTTCATTAGGGTCACAGACACCAATATACACAAAACCCAGGGGATCGTGTTCTTCCTTCATATAAATTGATATTTGATATATTGTGAAATTATTGATATTTTCTGCCATATGTTAACATTTTTCTAGGATGGTGGTAGAGGTCTAAAGTCAGAAAAAGGATCTGGGTTTGATGTGGTTGTCTTTGTATGTGCGTGTGAGTGTGTTGGCTTTTGTGCACATACTTGTCCATATGCGTACAGATTGCAAGTGATCACTTCTCTCTGAAGTGTGTCATCATGCACCATGATTACACTTGCCTTAAATATGCCTGTGCATATGCATTCAGCTGGCGTACCTGTATGTATATGTGGTTGTGAATGTATGCGCACATGTCTTTCCAGCTTCTAATGTATGAGCACCAGCCTGCTTTCAATATAGTCTCTTATTAGGTGGTGATTATCCTGCCTGCATCTGGCTTCTTTCAGCCGTCTACTGGAAGTCGGAGAGTCCAGGGGCACTCTGGGAAGAAAGGAGTGAAAACTTCCTGAACCCAGCTTTGACCCCCCCACCCCCCACCCCTTAACTCCAACATACCTTTCCACCTCTCAAGGAACAACCTCACTCACACTGGTGTTTTTTTTTTCTTCCCCCCTATAAACAACATACAAGTTTCCATACAAGGCCAGTATTGTAGAATAAGTAACTTTACAAATTAATTTAACCTGTTCTAATAATTGCACCTCTAATGCTCAAGCATACTAAAAAAATCCAACCCAGAGCAACAATCTAGAAATGAAAACTTTTTGCGCAAAAATACAGTATCCCAGCCTACAAAAACACGGTTGATAATAAAGGCACTAATCCTTTGCCTGCCCCTTGAACACAGACACACATGTAAGTACACAGTTTCCTCTTCCTGTACCCTGACTAAACTGGCATAGCACCACTGGAGAATAGAGACTGCTACACCATGATCTAAAAATACTTTGTGAAGCCAAAAAAGGACAAGGAAAATAAGAAGACAAAACAGAAGCAAAAGAAATAGATAGTAGATAGGAAGAAAACAGTGTGGCAGGATCCCGAGGGCCTGGCTGGGGACTTTGTAAGGGACCATACATCAGCTGTCACCCGATGGGCTTCCAAAGAGCCACAACAGAGAAGCACAATAGATTGGACAGATGGTCCCAAACAAACTGCAGTGGGTTTGATGCTATTAAAAGCTGTTTTCCTCATGCCAGATGCCAGCAAGTGTAGTGGATGCATTGTGTGATCATTTCTGAATTATTGAATGTGTATGTATGTGTGTTTGACTACCAGCTTCTGCCATTTCAATAAACCCTCTGGTGTCTTTTTAGCCATCAAATGACTATTTGTAGCATGACTGTGATGTGTACAGTGTGTAGTTTTCTCATAATTAAGGTAAATCAAAGACAATACGTGATGGTGAAACACAAACAGTGTGATGATTGATTTGGACGCAATGGATGCCAGCCAACCCTGTAGCCAGTGACGAACTTTTGGCTGATAACCAATAGCCAGAAAAACATAAAACAGCCCCCCCGACTTCATTCTCTGTTACTTCCTCCCTCCCATCCCCTCCTCCTCCCGCCCCCCTTCATCTGCTTTCCTAAAGAGCAGCTCTGACACCTCAGAATGATTGAACCCCTTCAATGTGCTGACCTTTCTCCTTCGGACTAGCCACCCACCCTCCTGTACCCCTCCATGTAGATAAGACAGAGACAGATGAAGATATTTTGTAATGTGTATTCATACATGGGTGTCAGTGGGGGTGGTGGGCAGGGGTGTCGTGCAGTGACACAGTGAAATTAGTTTTGGTGGTGGTGGATGGTGGCTGACCCACCTTCAGATCAGCAGTCAACCAGGGAGATTAATCCACTGTGTCAGACAAATCGGGGGAAATCACGTATAACTGTTAGGTATGCACAAAATGGGGCTTGGAACGTGTAGGCCAGCAGTTGGGATTTATGAAAACAAACTTGACGTGAGAATGTGCATACCTGTGCAGAAACTCTCACCCATTCTTATGGATATTTTGGAGACTGGAGAAATTGGCGACACAGATGGTGAAGCGGTGAAATGAAGCCAGATTTTATGATGGTCATTCTAATCATATATCCACAATGTGATAAACATTCAGGCAGCTGTGTTAAACTTTGTTTGCAATTGTAAGACACCAATTATTCCATAAGCACCTTTTTGTTTTTAAAAGAAGGCCAATCCAAATATTAAACATTGACATCTGTGATTCATTATTAAACTATCACTAAATAACTGAGCTTCCTGGTGCTGCCTCATCACCACACTCGCAAACCCTCAGAGCTCAGAGGAGAGGGTTGAGCCGTATGATGCTCACATTCAGTCCCGGTCAGTTTAGAGCCAGAGCGCACCACAGCGAGGCTTTGCCAAGGCTAATGCCAGGTTGTGTCAGGTGGCAGATTCAGGAAAACGATAATTAATAGACAATTAATTATGATATTGACTGTGAATATCTTGATTTCTTTTCGTTTCAACCACATCAACTGCTGAAATAATTTGATAGTTTCTTTATAGAACTGGAGAACAGAGCATTTTTAGATTTCTAATAGTGTGAATATTTGGTCAAGTACAGATTTAATTCATTTTTAAAAGATGTTTTTGTATAAACTCTCTTCAGTGTACACATGAATGTGCTGTCAGAATCTACAGCCTTTATATTCTTAAAAATATAAAGCAATGAGTTGAAATTTACTGATGCATTCTGGGGTGACTAACGAAAGTTAGTACATTGACAAAATTTGCTCGATAGGTTTAATTGATAACAGCATGGCTAGTCAAGCAGGACTAGGTGGTTTTTAACTCTGACCAATTTGTATCAAAACCTACACCCAGTCTTCTCATCTGAAATCAGCAGATGTATGTACCTCCCTGTCCATTGCAAATAAATATCTATAAATCTGTTTAAACTATTTAGAGAAGGAAGCTGCACTGTTAAGTAGGTGCTGCACAGATTAGTCGAGTAGTTGACTTTGCCACTCAAAGTTGACAATTTCAACATGACGTTGACTAGTTGCTGACTGTGATTCTCCCTAACAGCTTTATCTGACACAGCAAAGACTGTCAGTGTAGTACAGTGGTCAGTGATGGCCTGCACCCTGAAGAACTGGCTGAAAAGGCTGGGTGCAAACCAAACCAACTGCCCAGTCAGATGAAATTTCACCGTTGTCGTGATGGAGCTACTGTTAGTTCCTGCGGTCTGTCCTCATTGATGGAACAGTCACCAAATCAAGTGTCCAAAAGTCGTTGGGAGTGTCACAGTGGGAGCTGGTGGAACAGTAGACCGGTCACCATCTGCGTAGGAGACAGTCCTAGAAGCATCTGCCAGAAACAGTCAGGGCATGGCCACACTTTAACGGAGACAGACAAAAAAAATCACTGCACATATGTAAAACCAACCACTTAGTCAACACTGTTAAACTCTTTTCTCCTGTCAAAGTCGATAACTGTTTGAAAACATTTATAATGAAGTACAAATCTTGGCTTCATGTGGCTTTACTGAGTGTATATTGGCCTGTTGTTCTCCAGTTGGCAGTAGTGAACAGTTTGCTCACTCTTATGTAGCACTGTCCAAAGGGGAGAAGTTCATACAGTGTGTGTCCAGGATGTGAGGGGTCTGAAGAAACCTTCTCGGCCCTCCTCCTGACCCATGATGTGTACAGATCCTCCATGGACAGATAATTCTTTCTGCAGTCCAAAATGTCCATTGTAGTCTGTTCCTGTCTGGTTTGGTTGCTGAACTGAACCAGACAGTGATGGATGAGCACAGAACAGATCAGTGATTCCCTTGTAAAACTGTACCAGCTCCTGGGACAGGATGAACTTCCTGAGCCAGTGCAGGAAGTACAGTACATCCTCTGCTGTGCCATCTTGGTGACGTTGTTGATGTTGGATGTGCACTTTGAGTTTTTGATATTTTGTACAAATATGAACTAGAAAAATATGACCCTGTCCAATCCTGTCCACTCTCATTAACTTCAATTATGTAAATAATAGTACTTGAGTGTATTCATTTAATTTTCAGTGGTATTAAACACTGTCAGCAGCACTGACTGGCATACCTAACTCTGTGTCTGTCTGTCTTCAGGTCATGTGTCCTTTCCTTGTGTTCCAGAGATACTAGAAAATCCCTCGAGCCAAACCTCCAAAGGCACTCATCTGCATCAAAAGGTAACTTACTCTTTACACACACACACACACACACACACACACACACACACATTCAGACACCAGGGTATATTAGTCATCGGCCTTGCGCTGTGGGTTCAATTAAGTTTAATTATGCTTATATAATCATGCTTAATCTCCAGGACTCTCCAGGAGCTGTTGATGCTGTAGTAAATAAATAAAAAACACGATTAACCTGTAGTAAAAAGCCTTTGTAACATTAAAGCTACAAATCTTAGCTTTATAAAAATGTAATAAGTAAAATGTAATAATTATCTGTAGTCATATACTTCTTAATATTTAAGTATTAAATAAAGTCAAATAAATTGACAAATATATTCTCACAGTTTTAATCTCCACCACATGATGGATAGTGTGAACAGCCTCGAACACATTCAGAATTATTGAGGATCCATTTCATTAGCGTTTTATATTGCTAAATACAATATAATTAAAAAAAAAAAGTTTATTCATTGCTTTTTTGATATCACTAGTTCAATAATTATTATAGACAATTAACAATATGTATTTTTTTTCATACTACCAGAATACCCCAAAATGATCTCTAGTAAATTAGAATTGTCTTTAATTGCCAAGTTTGTTTGAACATAAGAGCAGTTTGTGTTACGGTTTCACGTCAATCTGCTTCCTGGATTTATGTTTTTGTTTACCTGTTCTCTCCCCGCTACTCTGGTCTCTTTTTGCAACTGGGGTCCACACCACACTCACATAACAGTTTGACTCCGGTACAGAAGCGCTCAATGTATTGTAAGGCAACAGGAATAGAAAATAACAATGGCAATAGAAATAAAAATAGAGCACTAAAAGTGATAATAACAAAAATAGTGTGTGTAATTTGAATAGAATGAATAATCACAAAACCGCTTTAGGAATTAGTAGAGGTCCCTTGTCTCTTTTGCAGTGTGTCTCGCACACCTTCTCAGATACTCAACAATGCTAGATTGACTGCCTCTCCAGTGAAGTAAATCCATGGCTCCTACACCCTGATCAGACTCTGCATATCCTCATCCCCCTGGTGGCCAGCAGAAGAAACACATCACACATCACATATGCTCTTTAACAAATGAGTGTAACTTATTTTAAATTTGAAGTTTTTTGTCCCAAATTGTAGAAAACCTGATTTCCATAGTGTTTGTAATGGGCTTTATAATGTAATATGTTTTTGAAATAGATGACGGTTTTGTGAAATAGGAGACAGCACTTACTACTATAGGAATGACATTTACTTTACTTCATTTATTTGTTCATCCTGGCCAGGGTCCACTGAGCATCCTTTTTGCTTTAAATTCATACACTAACTTGTTCAAAGGCACATGAGTGATTATTGTAAGAAGAGGGAAGCGTGCTGATCATTTTACCTTTGATCAAAGCTGGTCACAAGCCCATTTTTTGAAACCTCCAGTACACAGTGACATTTTACTCCATAATCTATTACATGATTTTCATTTATTTAATCTGGCACAGTGTGGATGAATACAGTATTTTATTTACTGCTCGTGAACACTAAAAACATTTTATTGCACAGGTTTATCCAAATGTTTTTACTGTTTTGTATGTTTGCATGGTAAAGTCATGCAGCGGTGAAAATGTTCTTGTACAAGTAGAGTACATAGTGTTGATGGTGTGAGCAGCCATGTTTATTTAATGTCACAACATGAAACCTGGGGTGGAGAAAACTTCCCAATTAGGGCCTCTGATTTAAAGGATGGTTTTAACTCTTTAGTTTTTCTGTTCTGAAGTAAGGCGCCCTGAGTTCAGTTCATAAGTGGAAGTGGGATGAATGTGTAAAATGAAAACCAGCAGAGCTCCTAGTTAAAAGAACCACAGCTGTCTCTTGATAACAGTGTAAATTACCATACAACCTGTGAAGAAATAATCTTGACTCATCAAAGAATGAAGACCAGTTCCTTGGAATCAAAAAACAAAACTCTATCAAAAAAAGTGGATTTTGCATTTTGCTCTGAGATGAAAACTACTCAGTACAAACTCTGAGATCAAGTTCCTTTTTCAGCTTTCTGCTTTTACTTCCTCTCTGCCTCCTCTACCCTCGGTGAACTGCTACTGCACAACAGCTTCCAACTATCCTATCTCCGATGTGATCGAAACTGACTTTGCTCTCTGCCCAGCTTTGTTTGTCTCCACAGCCGCTGGGTGGTCCAAGTCTTTCTCTCTCCCTCACTGTTTCATGCTATCTCTCTCTCACTCACTCATTGTCAAGTTTATAGCGAGCGTCTGTTTCTCTTTGAGTGCTGCAGGACCCAGGCACGGTCCGAAACTCTATACCTGAGTATACACAATTAAGTTCACGCAAGAGGTTATTGGATGGGAGTGTGGTGCCATTACAGAAAATGTGTAAGTCGCTCAAACGATAGGAGGGTGTGAGCGTTTGTGTGTGGCTGGGTAGTTGGCCATGGTTAACTAAATGAGAATAGTTGAATATGATGTGTGTGTTCTCAGGGCTGTTCTCTAATATCAGCACAGACAAGACTCGGCGGCTGTTGTTGCTAGAGACTTTGCATTGACAGGTTGTGCTGTATAATTGCAATCACAGATAAGGTTTTAGTGAGTGTGCCAATGATGGCAAAACATTTTTAAGCTTATGGAATGTCTATGTCAGGGTGTCAGGAATATATATGTAATACATATATTAGAGATGAAAAGGCATACCTTTGATGTGACAAATTACTTGTCATTCCTTATGAATTTTAATAAATGTCAACAGTTGATTTTTTTAATAAAATTATGAATGAAATAATAAAAATAAAAAAAGAATAAAAAATAGTACATGGCTGCAAACTACTGTCAATAAGTGCTCCAATAACCAGAGAAAGGTTGTTTAAATGATATCTGATATATGTCAGGGGACAAGTGAGCCCAAGCATCTGAAGTCATTATATTTTTCTACTATTCAGGTTTTAATTTTAATTTGTTACCCATCTGAATTTCTGGATGTATACTATACATAGATATTTGTAATGAAGTGAGTAATTAGCCAAACATTATGATTGTAATGACAATCCAACCAAACACTCTGGAGGCTATTTAAAATTTCTTAATCAATCTTCCAATTAATCGTTTGATTTTGAAGCCTAGAAAATTATGTATTGTACTAGCTTATTTTTTGCAGGGGCAAATTAGAAGCAGACAATTTTGAAATGATCCATAAGCTTTTGTAGTCGAGTTACCCTTGCCAGCCTGTTCAGTGTTTCAGTGTTGAACCAGTTAGCCACAACTCCCTCTGTTACTGTTCACACGCGATTGGGAGTCTCATGACAGACCAGCTGGAACTTCCAGTCTGCCCTGTCACACACACATACAGACACAAATCCTCCATGGAGGCCCTCAGGCCAGCCAACCTATCAGACATTCGATGGGGTTATGAACGTGTGTGTTTGCATGAGTGTGTTAGAGGTGTTGTTTTCAATTCCTGTTTTAGCTTGTGTGCTTCAGTCCTTCCTGGCAGGGGGGACTTCTAGTGTCATGGCTGTCAGCTTTGGGACAAGTAAGACACAAAATACACAGTTTTGCAGCTGATATCTGACACCTTTAATTGTTTTTTTGTGTTTCAGAAACATACTCTTATTAAATTCTTGTCACTATAAAAAACTTCTCAAGAATGCCATGTAGACTATAACACACGATTCAGGAGCTCTCCTTAGAAACTCAGACTAATAGGATAGATAGGTTGACAGCTCTTTAAACCAAGGTGAGACAAGTTTTATTGTTTTTTTTACAGACCGTTGATTAAAATTCCCCCATACCACACTGCAGTGATTTCTCTGGACAAAAAAACTCCTTTTCCCACCTGTGATCAAAAAGGAATCTCCATCATATCAGAGGTAGACATAATCAACTTGCTGTTTTCCAATTTGTAGTAAAAAAGCTATAAAAGAGCTGTCAGATATATATTATTAGCAAATTCAGTATATCAGTAATGTATGTCTGCTTTGTAAACTTTTCTGGTTTTACTCTGAGATTGTAGAAACACTTCACAGTAAACATGTTTATTTAGGCAGAAGAAACACACAAATTAATTGATCAACTTAAAATGTTCTGACTGACCAAGACACCTGTGACTCATTAGTCAAATAACTAAAATGAGGAATCCCTGCTCTACCACTTATCTTATCTGTCTTAAACTCACCAAAAAAAGATGTTAAAATCCTACCACAGCAGTTCAACACATTTTGTAACTTGTAAATCATATTGAAACCCTTTAAAGAAACAAATACATACATACATATGGGTGGGACATGATAACATGGAGGGGGTATGGATCTGATTCCTTTACTGTTACAGATTCCAATCTGAAATGGTCATGAAATATCTGACATATTGAAATTGAAATTCATCTGTATTTTTCAGGATCTTCTTGAAATACTAGATCAGGTCCTGGTTCCAAAATATTACATTTATTAGCTTGAAGTATTGATATGAATAAAAGAATAACTGAATTTTGGGTGAATTATTTTGTTGGAGTTTGGGTTGAAATTACTGAGCTTTCATTGTTTTGGTGGATTCTGTGGAGCGTTTTACACTCATACTGTAGCTCAGAAAAAATATACCTGAAGTTAAAAATAGGCTTCAGGTCGAGGCTATGTGCATAAAGCACAAGTGTCATGCCAGCCGACATGCAGGAAGTGTAGACAGCTGGATTAATTGATTAATATAGCAGCTTATTGGTTGTGTGATATGTGCATCTCCAAAACATGACGGACTATCCTTAAATACAAGACTGTAAATAAAGATTGGAATTAGATCAGCTTTTTTCTGTTCGATACCAATACTTGGTATCAAATTATATTATAAAAGTCTTCTAGTACCGTTTAATCTCCTGTACCCACACACACACACACACACATGCACATAAACATATACACACTGTAAATATTCATGCCCACACACACAGACACACACACTCAGGCCTCTACAGTACTTTAAAAGTGGATGTGTCTTGGAGGGAGTACCAGTCGTATTCTATT